TCATTTTGAGAAATAGTTGATTTTGGTTGTAACCATAACTCTATGCTCATAAATTTTAACAATTCTATTTTCATACTTTTATACATCTTTAATACAATTACTTCTAGAACAATTGAATACACTCAATGAATAAACCAAATTATTTTAGTCCTTTTAAGATTTTTAACGACCTTTTTATGATTTTACTTTAATAGGTATCTAAGCTTATTAGCTTGTATAATTTGCTCATAAAATTATATTAAAATCTTACAACACTATAGTGGTAATTTTTATTTCTTTTGATTCTTATCACTCTCACCATATGAAAATATGCATTCTTTTATTAAAGAATGTCTCATTCAATTGTCAAGATATCATATATACTTAATCAAGTTGCCATTTCATTTATCTTTTCATTTTTTTTTTTTAAGTAGAAGGCTTTTAAATCCACCCTTAGTGAAAGATAACTAGCAAATATCTTAATATTTCTATAAAAGCTCCAAAACTTTTATATTTTAACTCAATATAAGAGTTTACATCAATAAACAAATTTCAAATATAATCATACTTCTATAGTCTCATTTTAAGATTTTTTTATGTTAATTCATAAATACTTATATGAATCTATTTCATTATGGACACTATTAATAATTTTTATTATCATGAACAAAATCATTTCATCAACCAAATGGATCAAATAGCATTCTTTTTGCTATTATAAAAGTTTTCATATTCACAAATCTTTGAATCACTCATGGCTTCCAAGGTAAATATACTTTGAAATTTTTATTATATAAAACCATAGATGATAAATCATTTCTACAATCCATGAATTAGACCATATACATAACAAAAAATTACCATAATGTGATCAAGATTGTGGCATTAATTTTGGCTTATGGCTATTCTAAGCCAATTATAATAATCCACATCATACCTACAAATCATGTAGAATTGGCTATTGAACTTATCTCCTTTATAGTTATGACTTTTAGTGAAAATCAACTATCTCAAATGTTATCATGAGTTTTCAATGCATATATTAATTGTGGAATGGCCAATTCCAAATTCATGACTATTGAAACCTCTAAACTTGATTTCAAATTTTTATGAGAACTTTATTTCTTCACCACTGTATAGCCTATATCTTTATGTTATTTATCACTTTTACTTAGTCATAACATTTTTGAGTATATAGTAAATTCAAACTTTACTCATAGGACCAATATGCCTATGTACAATAAGAGTCTATCGTATATTTAACTCCAATTTTAAATACTTCACAATCATTTTATAATCAATATGTTCATATCTAGATCACCATAATAATACAAGTCATGAAACATTAATCCAAAGAATCATTTTCATAAAATAGCATAAACAATAATTATAATATGAATTCTACTCATATTTCATGCCTAAACTCATGATATATTTGCATTGGTTAAATTATTGATTGGCTAACTCTAAGGCTTACGGCTTTTACAAACCAATATTATTATCTAAGCCTATATGTTAGTATGGTTTATAACTAGGCACATTCTTACAATTGTCATGAAACTATTGAAAACCTAGGAAACTTATGCACTTTTCATTTTAACAACCTGCAAAAGGTCATTTTTTCAGGTTTAAGAAGCAAAAATATCTTTATTGATCTTTAACCAATATCGTATTAATTGGATGATGGCATTCTGTCTCCATAGTCCATATATTTCTTATATGTATAAGAAAGAAAATTCCATCCCATTCAGTTTATTTTTGTAATATATGGTAAACTGTACCACTGTTCTCCATGCCATCACAAAATAGAATTAAATACATACATATATTGGTACCTTTGGAACATTGAATTTGCATGTTCTTTTCTAATTTATAAATATGACTAATTAGACATTGATGAGTATCCTTCAAAATGCTAGTAATCGACAGATGCTTCAGTATTTTTAAGAACATGCTTTTTTTTAATCAATATCCCATACACGAAACGTAACAATGCTTTTGTATAACCATTGATGAACTCTTTGAAGGCTATTTATGATTTTCACTTTGTGATTGTTCATAATAAAATTTTATTTTGTAAAATCACTTATAGTGTAATACACCCAACAGGTAAAATACATGTCACACTGCCCATGTTTCTAATAATAACAATTATTTGGTTTATTATCCACCAATTAATCCATGAGACATCATATCTTAATAATAATTATTCACATACATCAATTTAATTTTAATTGGCTTTCATGAAAATTGAACACTAGTAAAAATTTGAACTAATAATAAAGTTAAAATATAAATATTAATATTTGATTTATAAATGGTCAACAAAGATAGAATCATAAAAATAGCTTGACTTAACTTATTATCTCAATTTTGGTGCCATGATTTAAAAATAAAACTAATCTTGCAGCCAAATCTTATTTTCTGCATATATTTTCTACTTCTAATTTTTCATGGTAAATTCCTTTACTCATTTTTTATCGTTTTCATCAAAATCATGAGACAATTTGTCTGTTCTATATATAACCAAAACTTGATAATTAAACAATTGTCCATTCCATTAGAACCCAATTTAATTCATTATTTGATAACAAGTGAAAATTCTTTTGGTCATATATCAATTCATGTCTTTTTTTTTTTTTTTTTTTAATGTTTTCAAGCTATTTCCCATCCTAGTCTTTATAAGCATCAATTTTCAAATATATATAATATAATTTATTAAACCTAATTGTGGATCCAATTTCAATATATACATAAACTTAGGCAATATAATCAATATTTTGCATATTGTGTTTTGACTTTGCAGACAAATGAAATTAATAGTTAACATATTTATCTCATTCAGTCAATCTTTTTACCAGCAATTATGCAAAAAATAAAATACATACCTTTAATGAAGATCTTTATAAAAATTAACATTTTGGTCCATAGAAACATTAATCCTTTGACACATTGAGTCTCCTCTAATATTGATCTCCAAATCATGTTAATTTTTTTTCTTTGTAACTTCTTTATACGAAATATAAATTTCTTATAATTACCTTTAAATTGTTAGAAAAAATAAATAAGAGAAGATAAATAATAGAAAAGAATTTTAACTTTGATGTGTGAACAATATTTTCTTAAGGGCAATTATGCTTTTACAATACAATAAGGCCTTAAACTCTTCAATTAGAAGTAGTGATAATTGTTATACTGAAAGATTTTTTACAATGAATGAATAGACATAAACTTCTATTCAAATAGTTATGATCTTCTGTATAATCATGACCTTTATGAATAATAATTTATTTATATTTAAATAGTTATGACAATTTGTCATATAATAATTGTTTCTGTTCAAACATAATTATTTAAAATATGAATAAAAGTAATACAAAATTGACTTTACTCATCAATAATTAAATCTTTTTATTCGATATGGAATACAACACATTTTAAACTATCAACAAAAAAATCTTGTAATTCTTAAAATCCGACTGCTGTGAATTCTTTCTATCGTTACACTTCTTGGTAGAAAACTAAAAAATTTCCAAAAATTAAAAAAATAAAAACCCTTAAAACTTCAAAGACACCTAAAAAATCCTTATTCAAATAAAAAACTACTGCATTCTAATTCAAAAAAAAAAAAAATCTCAAACAAAACTAAATCTTGAACTCAAGTCAGAATTAAAAACAAACCTAAAAAATTTGAAAATTAATTCCCAAAAAATGTAATTATTTTTTGTTTATTTGCTTTGTGTTTGCTTTAATTGCTCTTGTTTACTTCTTGTCTCCTATGTGCTAGATTCATGATGTTTATGTAAGGGTTTAAGGTCATATTTGGTGCATAGAATGGTGAATAGGATAAGATAATAATTATCATATATTATATTTGGTTTGTATATAAAGAAAGGAATATGGTTATAAAGAAGATTAATATCCTCTTGGCATATGATGATTCAATCCTCCAAGAGTGGAAATGATTATTTTTAATTTATGAAATTAAACTTACATGTCCTATTATACTCTTTAAAATTATATCAATAATTCAAATGTAAAAATTTTGAGAAAGGATATTTTGACCAATAAATAAATTATACTATCATAATCTTTACACTCATTAAACATAAGATAGGATGATATTATTTAATCTAATTCTATTCATAATATCATTTTATCCTATTCTACATAATCTTATATACCAAACATATTAAATCTCAAACTTAATAGGATAGTTTATTTATCAGTCAAAATTATATTTCTATAAAGTTATATAATTTAAATTATTGATATAATTTTTAAATGTATAATAAGACATATAAATTTAATCTTATAGATTAAAAATAATCCTCTTCATTTTGAGAGGATTGAATCATTTTATACCAAGGAGATAATTATCCTTATTGTAATCATATCCCTTTCTTTAAATACAAAACAAATATAATATAAATGATTATCATTCTATCTTATATATCATTCTATACATTAAATATGACCTTAATGAATTTTGATCTTGACAAATCCAATTCAGATTTAGTTCAAATTCATTTTCTTTTTTTTTTTTTCTATTTTCTTGTTCTTCAAAGTTTTTCAAAATTAAAATAGGGTTGAATTTCCTTTAACCCTCAGCAATTGCCTTTGATTCTAAGAAATCAATTTTTTCATAAACAATTAATCACTCTCTCAACAATTTTTAAATCCGTTTCTTTTTCGATTTTCCTTTTTTTTTTTTTTTTCTTTTTACTTTTGACTTTGAAAAAAAAATAATAAAAATGAAAAGAAAATAATTTAAGGTCTTTTCATTTATGGGCTTAAAACTCAATTGAAGATTTGAGGCCCAAAAATGTTCTTAGGATCATCATATATAACATGAGTGATTATATTAGGACATTCTTCGACCCAAAACTTGTCTTCTATGATGTGCAGACCATGTTTAGCTAGTAAGTGAGAAGCCATAATTAGTTATTTACCCTGCCGCGAGGTGTGTGGAATGGAGCAGACTTGGACTTGGAACTGTTTCATCATTTTTCTTACCTCCCCTATGAATAATCCAAAAAGATGGCAGGTTCACTTTCACTGACTTCAGCTGCTTGATGATACCCAAAACGTCTCCTCCTAGTATGAGGTTCAAAAACCCATTCCATATGCAAAGTCCCGCGCTTTTACAGCTGCCATTGCTTCAGCTTCAAAGGGATCACTGATGTATGTGATATTATGTCAGATTCGAAGAACTATTGTGAGAATTTTTAAATGAAGGGAATTTTCTTTTTCTAAATTCTACCTGTATTTTAGGGAATTTAGAAGAAGTTTTTAACACTAAAAATTTTTATTTTATTCTTAAATAAAAAGATTTATTATAAAAAATTAAAAAGTAATTTTGTTGCAATAAAAATAGGTAAAGCTAATTATTATTATTATTATTATATTGGTATAGAATGAGTATAGTCCATGAGAGAACAGAGAAGGATGTCTAGATTCAAAGTAAAAACTTGTATGTCAATCAAAAGTTAGGACAAAGCTAATTATGTTTTTAATATTGAAATCAAGACAATTTTTATTAAAATTAATGTATAATACATGATTAATTGATATCATTAATTTTTTGAATGGATGGGCGGAGTGTTAATATTTTTTTCATGTGTAGTCTTATTCTCAAATTTAAATTTTATTTCGTAAATCAAAATTATTTTTTGATAGATTTTAATTAAAATTTTATTAAAATGATAAATTTTTTTAAGTGATCAATTATACCTAAGATTTTCTTAAATGATAAATTTTCTTAAATGATTACCCGACCATAAATGATGTCTCGTTGAGGAAAGTTGGAGTTCCTTTTTCATTGTTTCCTCCAGGAACTGTAAAAGCTGCGGTAAACACCACTGTAGCAATGAGAGTAGAAACAAGCATGCTTGAATCTGAGGTATCCTTCATCCATTTTTCTGCATTCTGACACATTTTATTGTGTTTGTCCGAGAACATATTAAAAGCCATTTTCCTCGTGCTCGGATGTGCAATATCCTCTACCGCCTGCCAGATCAACGCATTATCTTAGTCAATATTAATGTAACAAGCCAATGAAATAGGGGGAAAAGAAAAAAATGTAAAAAGCAACGAACTAAGTTAATGATATATAGTACAATGCAATTATTTAGTTAACCACCTTATACCACTGCATCTCTCTCTCCGCATTTGTAAAGCAGCACCAGAAGTAGAACAATCTAAGAGTTGAGGATTTTTTGGTAGCTCTGCTGCTAAAAATAAAATATGCCCTTCTCTGTAACACGAGGCAACCAACATCTTATCAAGTGCGGTTCCGTTAAGAGCAAGATTGAAAATATTTTCTTGCCGCCATTTAATTGCCATTTTTAGTAATTTTCCACCATATTTGGAGAAAATCAGGTGTGGGAAATAATGAAGAGATTTTGTCACAATTTCGACACTTTCGTACTTCGCAGCAGCTTTCAGGATCTTGTGGTCGCCAAAGTACTTTTTCTGCTGCTCTGCATCATACTTGACTAATGCTTTTAAACAATGATCAACGAACTGGCTGGCACGCTCGTGGCTTAACTTTAGGTCTCGAACACGGTCAATACAATCTGGTATTGCAAACCGGTAACTGATCAGATAATGAAGTAGTTCCATGAATTATAAAACTCGTTTTGTCTATTTCAAAGCCCCGGAAGCCAGGTTCACATTAATGTTGCTTACCCAATTTTTCCATTGTCCTCCGAAGTACTCCTTTGATCCCTTGATAAACTGCAACATATATATAAATCAGAAAAATCCCTCCTCGAAATTTCAAAATGTTTTCAACAACCATTTTTGCACTATAAAACACCATTCTAAATGTATGTACTTAAGCAGCAACCAAATAAATTAAAAAAGAAAAAAGGAAAATCTAATTTGTAAAAAGTGATAATGAGGTACTAAACCGGTTTATATTAGATATTTATTGATTCTATACATAATGAGTTAATTATATAGTTTTTGGGTATAAAATAGGTCAAAATTTAAAATAAATTGAAGAAAATTTGTTAACGCTAAGGATTGATCGCAACTTTGTTGGGAACCATCTCTTTGAAAAAAAAAATTCAGTGAATTATTTGGGCTAAGCCTAAATTCATAATGTCACCTCATTACTAAGCAAACTTTTATATATAACTTACTAGCCTTCCCTAATAAGAGCCAATTTCAATATTCCCAATGAAGCCAACTGTATTTGTCTCCCCTTATCGCCGAAATCCTTAACTGCTTCCAAACTTCCAATTATTAAGAAACAAACATGTGTTATAAGAAAGGCATTTAACCTATTATCTAAAACTTCATTGGTAATTAAAAATAACACAGGATGGAGGGTAGAATTAGCAAACCTTGAGCTCTAGCTTCTTTGGTTTGTGAATTCTTTTCTAACACCTTGTGCTGATCTGAGGTTTCAAGTGGCTCATCGTCACCGTGTGGTAGAACTTTTTACATAAAAAAAAAAAAAGATATAAAGGTCATGAATCGATGCCTAAAGTATTAAGATACGATTTTAATTAATCACGATTCATTAGAAGACAAGATTTTATTAAGACAAAAACATTACTAATTAACTAAAAGAAAAAAAAAAGAAGTACTACAAATTTAATGGATTGAAGGGGAAAATGAACCAACATTTATAAATCCATCTTTGCCAAAATTTAAGCTTAGCTCCATTTGAAAGTTTTTAGGCTTATAAGCTAGCACCTTCAGAATACTTTCATTCTGGTGTCCTACCGCAAAAGCAAGGCCTGGTTGGCGTTGGATTAGATATAAAGATATATCTGTTTATAACCAAGGCAAAAAAGCTTTATACTACGTACATGGGAAACCAAAAAGGATAATTAAAACCAATAATTAATTAATTTCCTTTTTTTTGGTACTATTAAAGCCAATAATTAATTAATTGCCTATTTTTTGGTACTATTAATTAATTGCTTCTGAGACAAGTGTTGTTTTACCATGGAATCCCATGTGAGTGAGATTAATCATGAGTTCGCCCGCCTTAGAAGACCCGAATGGGTGTTCTTCAAGAGGCTCCTCAATTTTAGTTACAAGGAGAGTGGGAAACAAGATACCTAAAATTGATTCGATATTATGAGTACATTTCTAGCTTGTCAAACAATTTAAAAAAATTTAGTTTGAGCATCTACCTAGAGAAGAGAATCAAATTATTGACACACTGGCTACTTTAACTGTAATGATCAAAATAGATGTAAATATTGAGATGTAACCCATCAAGTTGGAGGTGAAAAATGTACCAACATATTCCTCAAAAATTGAAGAAGATATTGATGGAAGGTCATGGTATCGTGATATTCTTCAATACATCAAAAGTCAGCAATACCCGAAGTATGCAATAGAAAATGATAAAAGGATTGTAAGAAGACTGACTATGAGCTTCTTCCTTGATGGAGATATCCTTTACAAAAGAAGCCAAGATCAAGCGCTTTTAAGATATGTAGATACAGCTGAAGCAAAGAGGATTCATGAAAAAGTACATGATGGGATTTGTGGAGCATATGCGAATGGTCACATGATGGCTAGACAATTTATTAGAGCTGACTATTATTAGTTGACAATAGAAAGTGATTGTATTGATTATGTCAAAAGATGTTATAAGTGTCAGATTTATGCTAAGAAGATTTATACTCTTCCATCAACTTTGCATGTTTTGGCACCTCTTTGGCCATTTTCTATGTGAAGCATAGATGTCATTGGTCCCATCACCCTAAAAGCTTCAAACGGGCATGGATTCATCTTTGTGATAATTGATTATTTCATAGAATGTGTAAAAGCTACATCATATGCTAGCGTGACCAGATCAGTGGTATACAAGTTCATAAAAAAGAAGATAATATGCAGATATGTGTTTTCAGAGAGGATTATTTTTTAAAATGCCAAAACCTTGAACAATAAAATGATGAAAGAAGTATGCATTTAGTTTAAGATCCATCATCATAATTCGGTACCATATCGTCTGAAGATAAATGAAGGCAGTAGTGGCTGTAAACAAAAATATTAAGAGGATCTTGAAAATGATTATTGATACTTATAAAGATTGGCATAAGAATTTATTTTTTGCGTTGCATGCTTACAAAATATCAATCAAAACCTCTACTAAGGCCATCCCATTTTCGTTAGTTTACGGAATGAAAGCTATGTTACCAGTTGAAGTGGAAGATTCCCTCATTGAGAGTTTTAATGAAAGTTAAACTAGAAAAAACTGAATGGATTCATAATCACTATGAGCAATTAATATCATTGAAGAAAAAAGACTTACAGCACTCTACCATGATCAATTATATTAAAAGAGGATGATGAGAGCACATGATAAAAAAATCTGCCCTCGTCACTTCTGAGAATGAGACTTGGTACTGAAAAAGATCTTTCCATATCAACATGACAATCGAAAAAAATTGACACCAAATTAGAAAGGTCCATATGTGGTGAAGAAAGCTTTTTCTTGTAGGACAACTCATCCACCCACGCCGTTTCCCTTTTTTGCTCTTTGCTCCTCCTCTGTTACAGCTTACCGTGTCTCTGTCCTTTATAGTTTGCTCTCTTTCAATCTTCTACATCTTTGCCTCCCTCTTACTCTCTTGCTTGGCTACTTGCCTCATAATCTCTTGCTCCCTCTAATTTGCTACACAAGATCAGACAGTTGTAGAGATCAATCTGCCCAAGACGTCATCGTAAGTTCTTAAATCTTAATAACCTTTATTTTTTCTTTTAGTGTGATGTTTAGAGCTGTATTCTTCCTATATGTTTTAAGCTAAAGCATAACCCAAACGGCCAAACCTCAGCCCTAAGGTGTGCCCACGGTAATGTTTTTTTTTGCTGGTATTTTTTAGTACCTTTTATTATTTAGAGTGATTCGATAGATGGACCCTATCTCTAGCCTGGAAGGAATAGGTCTAGGACTTTCAGTGGCTTGTTTACTCCTCCAGTTGATTGACTAGGTTCTGGAATAAAATGATCAAAAGTCAAAACCTTCCATGCCCCACGCTGGATTTATATTATCTGTAGCAAGTTGTGAAAATACTCTTTTTAGTCGAGGAAAGCACTTTAACTTATAAAAATGAAGGGAGCAAATTTTCAATAACAGTTTCTGCCAATTTCGACTTGCTTCGCTCCGTTGGTACTATTTATGTGCCTTAGCTCGTAGTTGTGCTAGCTGTAGTGCTATCATAGACTGGAACAGAATTGCTGCATCTCCTACAGGCTACATCTTTGTTCGGTACACAGGTCTAACAGACCCTGAAATTATTGGGATTTCAGGTTAATGACTTCTGCTTTACGAATCCCCTTGTGAAAGGATGAATGAACTCTTCCCTCTTCCGAACTAATAGAAATGATTTTACCAGCCAAATTTTCTTTGTCAAATAAGCTGATGACTTGTTGGTATTCCAAGGTCTTTTTTTGCTTAATACAAAGGCATATCCTTCGAGTGATCTTTCTCAAGCTAAGCTAGGTAACTGTAATGCTTTTTGCTTGCATCTTGATTCATTTCTTAAGAGTAAAGCTTTTAAATTGAAGTTGAAGAAGAAGTGTTCTGTTCAATGTTAAAAAAATATTAGTATGGCAACATCATAATGATGTGGACTAAGACGATTCGAGGATGGTCCCACAACTCACAAGCGAAAGATAGAAATAGTTTAAGTGATTTACACCTTGAAGTAGAGTGTGTAAATACTGGATGTATACATAGAGAAATAAGTTTAAAACACAACTATTCAGGAATAAAGATTTTAAAGAAATCTATTGTCAGAGATCTAGCACTTTTAAGTTTTAACTTTCTTACTAGATCTAGCAACTAATTAATCTAAATTATGCTAGATACTTAAATTAAAAGTTAAAATAAATTAGCCTAAACTATGCTAGACACTTACATTGTTTGTTGATAAAAAAAGCAACTAATATATAGTTTGATTAACAAACTATTTCATTATTTGAATGTCCAATGTATTCAATAATTGTGTGAATATTACTTTATTATTTTTTCATTATTTGAATATAATTTTATTTTTATTTATTATTTTAATATAATTTAATTATTTATTTTTTATTGTTTGGATATAATTTGATCACTTGCCATTTTTTTTTAAAGATGTCAAATGAAGTGAATGATATGATTTTGGATTCTACAACTAATCAAACACAATTGGTCTCTCAACTTTCTGCATATGATGAGGTAACAAAAAGTGAAACTACAAATTCCAAAGTGATGAGACGAGCATCTAAGCCATGGTCAGAGGTATGGGACCACTTTAATAAATTTGTTAATGAAGAAGGTAATCGTAAAGCTAGGTGTAATTATTGTGACAGAGAATTTTTTGCTGATCCTAAAAAGAATGAAACCACCGCTTTAAAGAATCACATGAATTCTTGTAAAAAGCTTCCTCGTGTTAGTGGGGATGATGGTACTCAAACAGAATTGATGTTGCTGTTAGGAGGAGTGGAATCTTTAGGCACTTAGAAATTTAATCAAGATGCTATTAGAAAAGCTGTAGCTAAAATGATCATTCTAAATGAGTTGCCATTTAGATTTGTGGAGTCGAAAGGATTTAGGCATTGCATGTCAGTTGCATGTCTTAGATTTCATGTACCATCACGATGGACAGTTGCTAGGGATTGCTATAAGCTTTATATTGATGAAAAGACTCATTTGAAGCAATTCATGAAATCATCTTTTGCAAGAGTATCTCTTACCACTGACACATGGACCTCATTACAAAGGGTCAATTATATGTGTCTTACGGCTCACTTCATAGACAAAGATTGAAAACTAAACAAAAAGATATTAAATTTTTGTCCCATTTCTAGTCACAAAGGTGAAGCTATTGGTAAGGCGATTGAAAAATATTTGCGTGATTGGGGGATTGATAAGATTTTTGCTGTTACAGTTGATAATGCTAGTTCTAATGATGTTGCAATTGTATATTTGAGGAAAAAATTTAACAATGCTGGAACTAGTATTTTGGGAGGCAAATATCTTCATTTGAGATGCATTGCACATATTGTTAATCTTATTGTTTATGATGGATTGAAAGAAATGAATGAAACAATTGCTCGCGTTAGAGGGCCAATAAGATATGTGAGACAATCACCTTCCAGGTTAGCTAAGTTTAAAAAATGTATTATGAATGAACATATTCAAAGTAAAAGTTTATTGTGTTTGAATGTTAGCACTAGATGGAATTCTACTTATTTGATGTTGGATGCAGCTCAAAAGTTTGAAAGGGCATTTGATGCATTTGATGATGTTGATCTTTATTATAGAAGTGAGCTTTTAATGGGAGATGGGGTACCTGATCAAAATGATTGGGCAATTGTTAGGAAGTTTTGCCTTTTCTTGCAACAATTTTATGATCTCACCGTGAAAGTTTTAGGTACTTCTTACGTCACATCTAATAATTTTCTTGATGATATATGTGATGTTTATTCCACTTTGCGAGAATGGCAATTAAATCCTGATGTTGAGTTGAATGCAATGGCAAAGAGAATGAAGGATAAATATGATAAGTATTGGGGAAATATAGAGAAGATGAATATATTGGTTTATATTGCTTCTCTTCTTGATCCTTAAAAAAAGTTTCCTTTTGTTGAATATTGCTTCATGAAAATGTATTCTTCTGATGAAGCTTCATTGATGATTAAAAAAGTACAACAAGCAATAAAAAACTTATTTAATGAATACAAAAGAATGTTAAAACCTCAGTCTGAGCAAGTTGGTGAAAGTAGTCAAGTGAGCCAAATGTCACAGCCCACTGATGATGAAAGTGGAAATGGAACGACAAAAAAAAAAGGAAAGCTTTAAGTCCAAGTACAAGAGGTATAGGATTGAACATGACAAAGATGAACATAAATCAGAATTGGCTAAATATTTGAGTGAAGAGCCTGATGATGATGATAGTGATGACTTTGATGTTTTAATTTGGTGGCAACTTAATAGCCATAGGTTTCCTATCCTT